ACATTGGGCGCCCCTTGATGCCACCTAGGTGAGGGGTCTCGCCCTCTCCACCATTAGACGCCCCCTATGATGCTACCTAGACAAGGGGTCTCGTCCCTCCACTTTGAGCGCCCCTTGATGCCGCCTAAATGATGGGTCTCACCCCCTCTCACCAGACATCCAATCTCAGGCGCCCAGCACCCCTCGACGTCCGTGCCTAACGTTCCTTGGCGTCCATGCCCGGAACCCCTCGACGTCCATGCCTAGCACTAGGCACCCAACAATGCCCAACTCCTCAACAACATCTCTCATTTTCTCCATCTCAATAAAGTGAGCCTCTGACCTAATAACTCTCTCAAGTACTACTCGAAGGTCAACCTTAAAGTATCTCCTCCATTTCTATGGAGTGAGTCTCTACCCTAGTAGCTCTCTCAAGTGTTATTTGAAGGTCAGCCTTAAAGTTAGGCAACCCTCTCATGTGCTAGCCTCAACTTCTCAGCGGGATCCTCTCTTGCCTGCTGCTCGAGCCTTCACAGCTTCATGACATCCTCTTTTGCCTACCGTGCAAGCTCCATGACATTCTCTCGTGCCTGTCGCTCAAGCACCAACTGCTCTTCAGCAACCTATATCTCCACCTTCGCACTCTCTCGCGAGTCGCAAAGAAGTTCGGCCTTATCTAGCCTCTACTACGACAGCTTTCTCTCGAGTTATACATAGCTCATGACTCTACTTTCACGCAAGTAGTCACCTTGTAAGCCTCTGCTACGGTAGTCATCTCCCGAGTTATACGTAGCTCGACTTCATCTCATACGGCTCTCTCACGGGACGACCACAACTTCGACTTTGCTCTCATGCAAACAGTCTGTCTCTCTCCAGATAATCATGTTAAGATATTTAAATGTTGGAATAACATTATTTTTTCCAGGCACAGTTTTGGAGCTACACTCCCTGTAGAAGACTGCGCTGGAGTCTCAATTTCTATAGCGGCACAAGTGCTAGCTCTGTTGTACACATGAGTCACACTTTGGGAAAGAGTGGGGGCACCACCGAAAATAACCTAGCCATCGGACCTTGACTGAGAAGCATTGGGGCATCAAACGTTGCCCTCTTGGGAGGAGGGAAAAACACCACCATAAAAGCAGTGAGAGTTCTCAAATCAATAGGGCGCTTTATAATTACAGACAAAGTCAATGATCAAGTACCAAAGAGGTGCCGCCCATAGCGAGACTCAAGACATCGCCCAAACATAACAGTGCCCAAGGCCTTCTAGAGTCGCCCAAGGCGCCTGACCAATCTCCTGTTGTCGCCTAAGGTGCCTGCCTAACCTCTTGGCATCGCCCAAGGCGCCTGCCCACCCCTTGGCATTGTCTAAGGCGTTGCTCAGCCTCCTGACATCACTCAAAGAACCATACCAGCCTCTAGCGGTGCCCAACAGACCCATCTCACTTGACCAACAGGTGTCACTCAAGGAGGAGGCCAAAAAAAAAAGAGAGAGAGAGAGAGAGAGGGCGGCGCCCAAGGTAAAAAAAAAAAAAAAGGATGAAGGGGCGATGCCTAACCAGGAAAAAAAAAAAAAAAAGAGGAAGCAGCAGCAGCAACAGGCATCGCCCAGGAAGAAAAAAAAAAAGAAGAAAGCAAGGGCCAGCAGTAAGCGGTGCCCAGACCAAAGAAAAAAAAAGAGAGAAGAGGAGTCAACAACAAAGGGGGGCATCCAGGAGAACAGACCAAGAAAGAAAAAAAAAAGAGAGAAGAAGAGGCAGCAACAAAAGGCGGCGCCCAGGAGAGCTAGCGAAGAAGAAAGAAAAAAAAAGAGAAGAAGGAGGCCAACCCCAAAGAGGAAAGAAAAAAGAAAGAAAGAGGAGGCGGCCCACGCCCTGGCCAAGGAAGAACAAAAAAAAAGAGAGAGAAAAAGCCCACGCCCAAGAGGGCGACGCCCAACCAGCCCAGACCAAAGCTAAAGCAAAGAGAATAAAAAAGAAAAAAAAGGCAAAGGGCGGTGCCCAAAGGAAGCAAAGAAACAAAAAAAAAAGGGAAATTTAGAAGCCGGTCCCCATATATAGATTTGTTTGAACATAAGTCCGTCAAGGAAACTTATTTGTTATGAAATCCATTTTTGAAAATTTTATCATACTATCCCTGCCTTTTAGAAGTGAAATAAAACTAAAAATTTAAAACTCCTAAATCTTAGGAGTTTTATTAACATTAAAATCTTTTCTCTCTCATCTCTATTTTTATTCATATATAGGTTAGAAGTTTGACTAATATATATATATATATATATAGTAACATTAAAAATTAAAAATTGTAACATTCAATATTAATATTTTCAAAAAATTATAACATTAACATATTCAACAAAAATAGTAACATGATTAACAAAAACTGTTACATACTTAACAATAATTATTTATTTCAAATTCAAAAGTAAAATATAGTACCATTCAAATACAAAAAATAGTAATATTTTTTAAAAAAATAGTAACATTGAATATTAATATTTAGGAAAATAATAGTAGTAACATGCTCAACAAAAACAGTAACATGCTCAAAAATAATACTCCATCCGTTCCTAAATATTTGTCGTTTAAAGTTTTGCACAGGGATTAAGGAAACTATTAAATAACTCTAATATGAGTAAAAAATAATTATGTAAGACTAAAATATCCTTATTCAATACGTATTGGAAAGGAAATGAATATGAAGGCACTTAGTCTACACTTAATCTATTAAGCACTTATTGAAAAACATAGATAAGGGTAAATTTAGAAGAAAAAAATATTAATTATGCTTTAATTTCATTAAACGACAGATATTGTGGAACTAAAAAAATTGTGTAAAACGACAAATATTTAAGAACGGAGGGAGTAGTATATGAACAATAATATAATCAACAAAAATAGTAACATGAACATTAACATAATAAAAAAAATAGTAACATGAATTTGAATATTACTATTCAAATTCATAGTAATTTTTTTTTTTTGTATTTGAATGTTACTATTTTTTTTTTAAAGTTACAATATATATATATATATATATAAGAGAAAAAATTGTAATGTTAGTCAAACTCTTAATCTATATATGAATATAGATAGACATGAGAAAGAAAAGATTAATTTCCTTTTAAAGAAGGATATTTTTGAGATAAAAAAAAAAGTGGACTTAAGTCATTACATATAATTTTGAACATGAACTTAGCCTTTTATAAATTTTCTTGTAGGATTTATTTTTAAATAAATATATTTAGGAGGACTCCCATTCAATTTTTACAGGAAAAAAAAAAAAAGGGGGAAGGGCCGGCGCTCAACAAGAGATAAAAAAACAAAGATAGAAGAAGAAGAGGGGAGAAGGTGGCGGCGCCAAAGGAAGGGAAAAAAAAAAAAAAAAAAGGAGAGGAAGTTAATGCCCAAGTGGGTAATGCACCTGGGCCCACAAAAGAGCTCTCCATTTTCTTTTGGCGCCACCTTCAGGGTGGTCTCCAACATAAACTTAACTACATCCAAAAAAAAAATGAGGCCTAATGCTAGAAAGGTGGGACCATCAGCCTAAAAAAAAAAAAAAAAAAAAATTTTTGATATCGAAAAATTCAATGAGTTCCGAGGATGAAAAAATACCGTGAGAAGCAAAAAATTTTTAACTCATTTCGATGAAGACGAAACACATGCCCACAACTCCTTCCTCTCGCAAAAGTTAGAGGCTTGGGACATAGGGGACAAATGATGAACCCGAAATTAACTAGGTTAGACCTAATAAATCAAGCAAACCCAAGTCAATAAAATGCGACTTGGGCCCAACAAGTCCCGAGAAACCAAGACACCAACTCCCGAGGAGGCTACTCCAAGAGGCCTATGTCACCGAAGTCCGGAAGGAGTTCAAGTCATCAAGAAAGAGTCTGAGACATCAAGGAGGAGCCTAAGCCCAAGAGACACCCTCAAGAGAGACACCCAAGGGGCGTCGTCCAGTTGATATTCCTGCCTCTCCTTCACCTTTTTGACTTTGTCACGCCAACTCAAGTTCAGGCTCAGGCTCAGGCTCAGGCACAAGTTCAATCCAAGCCCAAAGTCAAGTACGAGTTCAGTCCAGTTCAAGACCCTCCTCCGAAGAAATAGGAGCACGAGGGAGAAAACATTGGGATAGGCATAGAGATCTCCTACCATAGCTATACTTACTAAAACTGTAGAAGTCTTCCTCCTCACGTCACCGTCTCATCACACCTATATAATGTAAGCTTTCTCCATATAGAGGGCATGCTCTCATAATCTTGAGATCCTTACACATATTACACATTTCTACACACACTGCTCTCTTTTTCCAAAGCATTATAATACTTCTGGAGAATACTCACTCCGGTGACTTCACTCATTAATAAAAGATTCGAGCCACCGCTGCCGTTCCCGAGAGTGGAGTAGATTATCTGGACCGAACCACTATAAACCTCTGTGTTTTCTCTTTATTTACTGCTTTAATTATTTATTGCCATTGATTGCCTATTATTGCGCACTAATTACACTCATTCGTAAACTTGACTATTGATCTTGTGCGAAAATAATTTTGTGCATCATCAAATTTTATTTCAATTAATGATATAATAGAACATAAATTTTAGTTGTAAAATTCATATTCTATTATGAATGATTTAGACCCCTTGTTTAATTTTTTAGTTTTATTATAATATATAATATAATTGTATATTACTTACAATTTTTTTTAAAAATTTAACTTTTTAAAATTTAAAATATTTGATATTCTATATTTGATTAAAATATTTTTTGTCTAATTATAGTAGTTTAAACTAGAGAGGTTTAAGTATTATACGTATACAAATTTCAAAAAATTTTAATATAATTTACTAATGAATATACTTAACAAACATTTAACGACAAAGATTAAGTGACAAAAGAGCCTAAGGATTATAAAAAAAAAAGCATAGTGGAGTAAATAGGGGCATGGATAAACTCACACCACACCCACACACAAAGTCCAAAAGATTAAAGAAAGTAATAAATTGTAGAAAATGTATATCCCAATGGCTTCAATTCAAACTGCAAGGAGAGAATAACACATTGGCTAGATGTAGCTTATTCTATGCAAGTCCCATCAGTAAAAGGAAAGCTAAATTCAAATTGCTATAGGATATAAGGATAAATCCATCCATTGGCAAATACAAAGCTTAAATGGGGAAAAATAAAAAAAGGAAATCCCAAAATACGAAAACAAAATCCCCTTACACTGAAAGGAATCAACCAATTTGTGTTCCACCGAACGATCATATACGTATTATGGTTGGCCATTGATCCTCCCACATCGAAACAAGGAAAGGCCTTCTCATGTACAAAAATTCATTGCTACCACTTCCCTCTTGTACAATACCAAGCCATAAGGCAGAGAGAACTGAGCTCTTCCTCGAGTGTCCTCATCAAATGTCTTCCAGGTCTAGCAACTGCAGCCACCATAATCAGTCTCCTTCTGCCTTTGCCAAAAGTAGATAAAATTTTCTGCCTTTTATTTTCCAAAAAATTAGAAAACTGTCAATCAAATCACTATGGCTGTCAATTGCAGCTCATCTCCCTCAGAAATCTAGCTCAGATATAGCTACAGTTTGCTTATACTTCCAAGAAATCTCAGCAATACACCTGGATTATCACCGCTATGGATTCACATTGCAATCACTCAAGAACTGAATTTCTCTGTTCAGAAACTTCTTCCAGTAACCTCTATATTCTGGAATGCCTAGCTCAAGCCACGGTTTCATGTTACCATTAAAATGCAATGCTGCTGCTTTTTTAATGGCTTCCATATCCAGACCATGGTCATGACCCAGTCCTGACAATACCCAGTTATCATTAAGATCATGAACTAGGCCTTTAAAGGTGAGGAAGCTTGCCCGCAATGTAACAGCTTCATTCAATCCATGTTTTGTGCTAAGCTGCTGTCCACATCAGAAAACAAAAATGTAAGTCAGAAAACTCTTGGCCCACAATGTAGTGATATTTGTAGTTATGCATGCTGACAGAAGTGTTTAACTAATGAAATATGCCATGGACATATGCATTTCAGCATGGAACCAAAATACATCTACTTGTAACAGGGGAACTAAAACAAGAAATCATGAGACTACAGGATGCAAGGAAGGGGGAACAATCACGACTTTTGAATAAGCAAAGCCAAGATAAACCTTGGGACAACTAACAAAACTATAATTAAGATAAAACATCTTATGATATTATGATGTACCACAAAAAAATATTGCTCTAAAACAACCTTGGGATGTATGGGTACCTCTAGAATGCCAATCTTTAGTCTGGTCATTTCAGAAACCTAGCAGAGCAAAATTAAAACAAAATAACAGACAAAAAGTATATCTTAAATTATGTAAGGCCACTGTATAACTATATTATGGAGCTCCATTATAGTTACAATCCAAAGTTACGAAAATCACATGTTCACAATCCAAATCGTACAATCAAGCCAATTATGTGCTCTACCCATTTCAAATCTGTGGATTGAATTGAATAGGATCATGATCATAAGAAAATAGTAAATACGAAATGACTATAAAAATAAAACAAATGAAAAAATGCATAGGAGCAAACATGAATCCAAATATACATATACTTGTCTCGGCACTCCACACTTATGTCCGTGTCTACAAATCCTAGTAAAATACAATCCTTCATTTTGCAAATATTTTATTATTTTAATGTGTACATATCATATACATTGCCAATTTCTGTATTTACTACTGAGTCCAATGATTCACGATTTGACTTGATTCTCAGCATGAATCTCAATTTGACAATTATCTTACCAATCCATATATTGGGTAGGAACAAAAACAAGTTTGTATTGGTTGTCAAATCCTTTTGTTGTTTTAATGATCATTACAAGATGTTATGGCCTGAACCTTATGGGTGAATTGACAGATATGCCAAAAACACTTGCAGACCTCATTTGTCACATTATTTAAGATTCAGTTGAATTCACAAGAACATATATCTTGAAAGTCAACTAATATAACGGTGTTATCAGCAGCCAGATAGATATAAGCAGCAGAAAATAAGTCCAGCTAACTCTTATTTCATGCTTTGTCACTTCATTATTCAACAATTAAGTAACGCATTTCCATCCTTCATTAAAGTTACAGACCATGTATCACTGACACAGAAAAACACAGCTGTCTTGGCCGTTACATTCCAATATGTTGTAAGGGTATTTATGAAGAATAGTTATGAGCTGTTATAGATGGTAACTATGCAGATTCAACAGATATGTAGAAAACACTTCCAGACTTCATTTGTGTCATTTTTCAGTCAAGTTCTCAGTCAAAATGGTTAAACTCCACTCTTAACATGTCAAAACAGCAAGAAAGAGTTACATACAATCTTTAGTTATACTTGTGGTTTATTGATTATAGTCACTTCTCTAGTCCATGAAAGTTGTGAAATTGTAACTGTCTGTATCATCTTTATTTTTTTAGCACTTCATGGTCTTCCTATTTCAGTTTTTCAAGACTAACAAGCCATAATAAGAACAATATTATTACCACCATTGATATAGATAGTAAACAAAAATAATGATAATTATATGGATCTAATCACGGTAACGATGATTAGAAAGGATAATGATAATGCCGATAATGATGATGACAACAATGAAAATGATAACAACATGGCCAGCTGCAGTTGTTTAACCACATGATAATCCTACCAAAGCTGCAACAAATGGACCGAGAAATGTTTGGTTAAACAAACTGCCACTAACCTCTTGCACCAATCGTTGGTATGTTTCAGTAACATTTCGTTCCCTCCACCTGACAAGATCAAGAACATTCAATCCAGACATCCAAGCACAAGAATTTCCATCAGCACTGTTCCCACCGACATAATTAATCAGATGACCCAACCTCACATTGCAAAATTGCACAGCACCATTCACTTTCCCATCCATATTGAGGCTCCACAGAGCTGATAAGTCTCGTTGAACAATAATATCATCATCCAACACCACAACTTTCCTCAGAGTCTGGAATATCTGAGGAAGGAGATAGTGCGAATGAGAAAAAACAGATATGTATTCCGTTCTACTTTGCGCTGTAGATGGTTTCCCAACCCTCCGAAAGGAAACACGAAATTCTTCAGGCAATGACAGATGTAACTGAGTCTCCTTATCATGATCCTTCAAGTTAAGATTTTCAATGTTCAACACTTGAACTGTGGCTTCCTTGTAAACATTTCTGAAGAACCATAGTTTCATGGCAAAGTAATTCTGCCTGTCTGTCAGCACATGAAAAACTAGATCCCCACTTTCCTGAAACTTAAATGAAAACCAGTAAGCAGTGCCATCAGAAAAGATAAAAGTACATACATAAAGCAACAAAACATACCTCTGCATGCATTACGGTGGAATTAATTACTACAGATGATGCTAGTACATTGTTGGAGAAGATGACATAATGGTATAATTTTGGATTCAAAATTTTTTCAGTAAGTGACTGCTTCAAATCAAGTGAAGAAGATCTAAAATACTCGACAGTCAGTCGCATTGACAGACAGTGGAGACTCTTTGGCATGGTTTGGACGGCAAGCTGGTAAAGGAAGGCACTCTGCTTCATATGAAAATTAGCTTCGTCCTCTGTCAGATCGACTAATTGCCTTAATTTCTTGTCAACATTATTACAGTCCACAGGGAATGACTTTGCTCTGTCTATTACAGCTTCCATCTTGTGGAGCTTCTTTCCAATCCTGGTAGCATAGGCAAAGCCATGTTTAGTGTTCCATGAATATAAACAATTGGACAGTAACTAAAAAGAGAAATTGAGTGAGGTAAATACTAAACAAGTGAACCGCATAAATTTGATTCCAGAAATGATGTTGACCTTTATGCCAATGGCATAAAATATGCGAAATAAAGGGAAACAAAGTCCCCAGAAATGTTACAAATATGGGCCATGTTGATTTGATAAATTTACAACCATGGTCACACACTTGAAGATGAACTCATTCATCCATCTAATATGGGCAGCACCATTAATTTCTCATCGAATTACGCTTTTGTGATTCAATGTAGCTAACTTGAGTTGGCAGACAATGCTACTGCTAGTCACAGGAGCAGGATGATTGCTGAAGCTCTGCCAGGAGAATACCATAATTAGTGATTAAACCTGGAGTTTTTGAGAGCAAAAACTCATCTGCAACATATTTTCAAAGGATTTTCCTGTGCAGCGTATGGAAATTAATGTCTGTTATGCAGTGATTTGTTTTCGAGATGTCAAAAAATAACGGCAAGGCCTAAAGGAACATGAGTTGAGGTTATAAGATGCGAAAAAATTGCAACAGATTGAACTGACGGTCTAGCTTTAAGAAGGATTATCCTAGATGACAGGCCCAAGCCCAACTTAAGGTAGCAGGATTTAAGGTTGATGAGCTGAATTTAGTTCCATGGTTCAAATTGAGATAATTTGACCTTATACAATGAGGTAAATAATCATTTGAAATTTAGTAGCCATGGGTCATGGTTCGAGGCTAAAAAGGCAAAACATGATTACATAAGCATATGATGCTACAAAAGTTTGGCCCTGGACAAAATAAAATGTCAAAGAATGCTCTCAGTGGCTTTGGCGTAAAACCACCTAACCAGAATCACAAAGCCGGACCAAATAATAAAAGTCAGCTTAATCTGTTTGAAAGAAAGAATGCAAGACAAGAATCTGTTGATGGACCATGTTGAGCATATACCAGGAAATAGTACTGCCAGAGGAAGTAAACATGCACAGGCAGTAGAGGTAATTCTATCATGCAACATCCCCCAAAATAAGAGGAAAAATAATCAAAGCAAGTTGTCTGTTTGTCCATGTTTCAAACAAAAAAAAAGGGGAAAAAAAAAAGGTAAAAAAAAAATTATCATGTAGATTTAAACCATGTGATATTTGAACTCACTGTGGTGGAAGATCTGTATCTGTAGTAGATTCACTTAGAATACGCTCAAACTCTTGAATGTTTTGCTTCAATTCACGTGACAACTTGTCAAGTACTGGAACCTTTGCAATACTAGGATAATAAGCTCGAGCCACGTAGAGATGGTCCTTCATTTTCTTCACCACAGAATCTTTCATTTTTTCCCTATGTTCATGTCGCCATAAGCAGTAACTCCCGAATTTTAACTCACATAGTCTTTTATCTTCATCAATGTCATTTAAATTCTCCTTCACTTCAATAGTACCACCAACCCTAGTCGTCTGCAACATAATTTAAAGTTGGCCATTATGCGAATCATATTACTGGAATTAAATTAGCATGAAGAAAAATTAGCAACCCTATGGACATGCGTACATTTGGGTTCGGACGTGATTGCAACACATCATTAGTCACAGGGAAACCTGCAAATCATTTGGAAAAATATTATAGTTAAAACATCAAGCTCCAATCAGCATGTTTCTACAGGGTATAAAGTGCAATGAAAGAATCCTCTCCAGAAAACCATGTCATCTTTAAAAGAGAACAATAGGACTTTCAGCAACACCTCATTAAAAAAAGTTTTTAGTTGAATAAGAAGGAACCCATACCGACAGTTTTGTTCTCAACTTCCTTGACCAAGCTTTTTTTGAAATCCTGACCAAAATGTGCAACAAAATGAGAAAACAAGTTAACCATCATTTGAGAATCATGAACAATAATAATCAACTGACCGCATCCCACAATTACTCCACTTAATAAAAGCTATCATGCAGTTGACCCCAATAAGTAGGGACAAGGTTTTGTTATAATGAATTGAATTCCTAATAACAAGTTCTTATAAAAAAATACCTAATAAAAAGCAAACTTAAGCTTTCAATCAATCATAAAGGTTCTCAGGTTAACACACAAGTATCAGTTGATGCGTAATAATAAGTCCCCGTCTTATATGGGATTCCAATGTGGTTTCTCCACCTAGAGAGTAGGTGATTTACTCGTGTCAGCTTAACTCTAAATCCTTTTATCCCCATGATTAACCCCGAAAGCTATTTTATACATGAAAATAACTGAAGAGACTACATAGCAAGGAAAGTAACAGAGTTAACATTCCAAAATTACATGTTAGGAAGGTTTGACACTGTAAGTTATTGTCAAAAGTTTTATACACATTCACATGAGAGAGAGAGAGAGAGAAGTAAAAGACAGTAGGTTATACTCCACATAGTCTTTATATAAAACAGATAGTGTAATAATTTTCATCTTTTGCTGAATTTCTTTTAATCTTGATAAACACAATGATAAGCCAAAGATTTTTTTTGGCGTGTCAGTAGGATGACCGCCCAATAACATGTCAATATCAGGAAAAGAACCCCATATTCGTAAGAACCTCCTAACTGTTATAGAGCACCAAGAAATAGATTTAACAAAGCATTATTCATGATACAGCAATCCTCCTTATCTAGGGTCATTATTGTCTTTTCCCTTCTTATATTTAATTTACTTTGCGTAGATGAGAGATCAGAGTAGTTTGAGCAGGAATTGATGTTGCTAGAATTTAATTCTTCTTTTCAACATGTTCACAATAATGCAACTAGGCATATGCAAGGAATAAGAGCATGGTGGTCAAGGTTGCTGTATTGGCCGTCTACTTGGAAGCTGGTACACATAGAAGGCCCAAAAAAAATCTAAAAAAATATTCACAATTCTTTGAAAATGTTAACAAGAAAATCCATACATTTATAAGCCCAAAATGCATCATTTAGAACAGTAAACATAGTGAGAATGGGATGTAAGTGTGCTACCAAAATTTGAAATATGTCCACAAATTGCAAAACTAAGAGTTACATTAGATCCAACACTACTAAATCTAGATATGTCATAAATCTATATCCAATGTATTTTTTTACATCAATCTATGCATTTCTAATTACATTTAGTTAAATAATAAATATATTAGTATTAAATGCTTCTTATCCAATATAACTAGTCTCTTAAATCCAAAAGGCAAACTCAAGATAGTTTCGTTGGTGGAAGGTCTTCAAAGCCTAAACGACAATTTTGTCAAGAAGTAATATATCTTTTACTTAAAAAACACTTAACAACAAAGAAGACCTGTTAGTGAGTGTCCTAATCATTTTTCTTTTGGACAACTCCCCTCATCTTTTATCACTTCTCTTATGGCTTCAATTAACACGATTGTAAATTTCATACTTTTACAAATATGCTTCTAAACATGTGTAGCATGAGCAAATAAACAATAATCATTTGTAAATGAGACACAGAGAGAGACAAGGATCAAAATATCGTTTCGAAATGGTCGAAATATCCGAAACGTTTTCGTTTCCAAGGAGAGCGAAACGAATCAGTGATGGAATCGAAATTCTACTTCGAGGTGTTCCATAATATTTCGAAATGTTTTGTTATATTTCAATGCATTTGCACAATTATTTCAGAATGTTTTAAAATATTTTGGTATATTTTGATTAGTGTTTTGAAAAAATAATTTTTAAATTTTTTATTTTTTTTCACACTGTTTTCTAAATGGGTCAAAACGTTCTGAAATATATCGAAACATTTTCGTTTCCTAGGTGACCGAAACAATACACTAAAACAAAATTTTGATCCTTGGAGAGAGAGATCAATGGTTGAAGCTTTGGCCAATCATGTCATTGCTATCAGAACGTGGATCCAATAAGGGTGATGACGCTGATGCACCAACAAGAACAAGAAAAAGAAGAGGGGTTTTCAAAGTGAATTCAAGGTGCTTTTGTTTGTATTTCAAGCCGGAGTTATAGATGCTTTCAATTTCTTCTTATTATTATATGCTCCATTGGGGTATTGATTGAGCAAATGACTTTACTTTTGGCATTACATGCATGCTTATTATGGGGTGCAAGATTTCTCTCTCTCTCTCTCTTGCCATCCTTTATTTTCTTGCCATTTTTCTTGGTTTTCTTCTAAAATGTGAACGAATCTTGCATTTGTGTGCATCCCATGTCAAGTAAGACCGATTCAAACAATACACATTCGACTTAGTCCGAATTAGATTGATTCATTACCAATTTGAGTTAGACTCGTGATTTACGCATTGTACAACATATGGTACATGCACTGAGGCCTATAAAGTTAAACAAACTTGCAACCATATTCAATCCTTGACAATCCTGCACCAAGTTTCATTTTAGAATCAACAATCCAACAACAACCAATCTTTTTTTAAGGTAAAATATATTTCATCTAGGTGGTACCAAAAAAAGGGGGGAAGGAGGAGGGGGGGAGGGGGGGTCAATACACACTATCTACAAAAGGAAATATTAAAAAGTATAAACAACTAAGCTCTTAGCCAAAAACTCCTTGCAGGAGTTTATGAAGACTTGAGAACAAAAAAATTTTGACTTCGATTCCCAATCATAAAAATCCCACCCAAATATTGCATTCGATAAAGAAGCAAGACCCTAATGGAAAATAGCTGATGACAACCAAGAATTTCTACATGAGACAAAATATCCTGGGATAGATGATTCAAGGTTTTTAAATTTGAATTTCCTCAATAGAGATTACAGCTCCCTATATTATATAAATATCAGGAAGTCCAAAATCAAATTAAGGGAAGTACTGGTTGCATGACTTGGAGCAAGAGAACGAATTTAAAATATTCAATATCTTCTCAGTTATCCTTTGAACTCAACCACTAGCATTTCCTAGTTCTTGAATATCAAAAACAGTTTCTTGAAAAGCATCAAAGTATAACAACTACAATATGGATGATAATGCTACTCAACTCGATAAGTAGAATGAATATATCACAAATTCGTCAAACACTTGCCAAGGACATCAATATCACAGTAAATGCACCAACTGCCCAAGCAATTGGAAAAGATTCTCTTGTGCAAACTGTAGACTACTAGATCATTTAAGGAAAAACAATTGCAATTTGGATTAATTTCACGCAAATCAAAGAAGACAATTGAGATTTCAAAATTAGTTTACAGTCTTTAGAATGCTTTTAGTTAGCTATTATTGCCAGATTTAGGCTTACTATCTCAAAATTGATGCAAAGGTGTCCTAGTAAGTTGTCTACGGACTGTAAAATGGGCTACCATCTTAATTTTTTAGTCAACAGGCAAGTCTTCGGTTGCCTAGAGTCTTACAAGTTTCTAAGAATATAACACGGCCACTAAGGTTTGGTCTTCGCCTATGATGTTTTCAATTTAAAAAATTTGGTGACCGAGGAATTGCTGCTTCTTTTCTTACAACGACAAAATTTAATAAAATATAAAACACCAGCCACATGAAATGTAACATTACTCTCAATGAGCAACCAGTACAAGAAGCTGAGCCTTAACCATCAAAGCAATATGCAAAGAACCTTTGGAAGAGTTGGTCCCAATCTCTTTATAAGATTATCTACATGTGTTGATCGGTCCCCCTGCAAACAAATAAATCACTTATGTGACAAATTATCAAAAACATACCAGTATCTGCCTATATATTGAGCAAAATGGCTCTTTTCCCGATGTATTTGCAGATAAAAAAAAATCAATTTAGAACGTCACTAATGACTCAAATCAGCAAGTTTTACAAAGTATCTATACCAATGGCCCAAACAAAATGTGTTACCTCTGATTGATTCTTGGTGTAACTGCCTTCTGGTTGATCATAAACTCTGATACTATGCTGAATCCCACAGGGAAAAAAAAAGCAAATGCATCAAAATGAAGTAAGAAAGCTAAAATAACACTCATTGATAACACATTCAGAAACGCCATTAAAATTCTTACTGCAGCTGTGCTTCGGTGTTCGGTTGAATATCCTACAAAAAGATACAGAAAAGGGAGTTAAAGGATTAAGTTTTCAGACATGAATATAACAGAAAACTACATGAAAATGCAGTTTGTTGGAGGAACGAATCTTAGATATGGGAAAGTGGGAGCTGGCAATACACAATCTCACAGATCCAAGCTATAAGTTTCGCCATAAGGTAACAAGAATGCCATACCATAATACCATAAGTTTCACCAATGCGTAGTTTCAAAAGAAAATGATGTTTACAGATCCAAACCGCAATGCTCAATAGAAAGGACCACTCTCCCCTCCTTTAAATGAAGAAAAGATGGGAAACGCTTCAATCATGGAAGTCTAGATTGATATGGTATCAAAGAAAATCAGCCTACTTCTTAAAGGAATGGCATCAAAGTTATTATCCACTAGCCTTCACTCTCGATCTGATGTATAACGAGAAGAGAATTTTCCAAATAAAGGAATACAAAAATAAAAATAAAAATAAGACGATCTGAGATGACCTTAAAGTGGAAAATAAAGATACGGGACAGCAGATTCACAGTACGAATAGATCTAATCTAAACAAACAGAAACATTAGCATATTTAACAGTAAACCGGAGAGGAAGGAAGAGAGTGTTTGTGTTTGAATGCATTACCGGAAGTGGAGTGAAAACCATTGTAGAGGCCAAGCAAGAAGAAGAGGGGCACAAGCATGGAAAGGAAAACGAGACCCAGCACCGCAATCACTAGCCCTTTCCATCGCCTCTTCGACGGAAGTGTGAAAGACGAACCCCCACCCCCACCCCCACCCTTCATCTCCTACTTCTCCCTCGTCGTTCTCGTCTCCACTTGTTTGCCTTCGATTTCAACGAACCACTATGGGACTACGGAGTACGACGTCCGCCTCCAATCCACTTGCAATAATCCCATAATCGTCGAACTCAAAAACAAGTTAAACTTGGCTCCCTAAGTTTCTTCGCCCTCTCCTTAATTTGGATTTTTTTCGCAATTCGCTGCCTGTTGATCCCGTCGAATTACTCTAGCCTTCGACAAATTGCGACTACGAGAGAGGCGGGGAAGAGATTGCAAAAGGATACCCTGCACTGCACTACCGTAATCTTTCCCATGAGATCGAGTTTAAGTAGCTGACATTTGTACTGAGTTGGTTGGACAACTTTACCCAAAATATTAAACACTTATGAACTTGATAGTTTAGAGAATAATGTGCTAAATTTTTTGGTTGGGGGTGCAAAATAAAATAAAGAGAATAGTTTAAAGGGTAAAGTGTAATTTAATCATAAAAATATTAATTTATACTTTTAATGTTATGAAGTGGTAGCAGTATAGTGTCAATTTTTTGTCATAAATTCAAACATGTGAGGGAGGTGCAAGTACTTCAGATTTGACGACGAGATATGTTCATCGTAGTAAATAGGCAATCAATTTAGAACCATTTTGTACATTAAAAATAAAATTTTATTAATCAAGTTGAAGTAAGCTTTATTATGCGCAACTCACATAAATTTTATCAATAATATGTGAATTTACACATAAATTTATACCCGAAGCACTTTTAAGTTTTAATTCACATGTTTCAATTTATGACAAAAAATTGAACGGTAACTTGGATCATGTTCATATTATTACCAATTCATAATATTGATGATATAAATTGAGAATCGAAGAATCTTTTGGAATAAAAGTGAGATTAGCCCAATGTATCTTTATTTTTAACTCCGTATTCATTTTTGTTATAAAACTAAGAGAATATAAAACATAAAATTGTAAATAGACAAGACAACATAAAAATGTTAGAGAAAAAGTTTTTCAACTTGTATATTTCTCAATATAATCATGACCTATTTTTATAGGTCCTCAAACATAATGACTATCAAATACAATATTAAGTTAGTATATCAATGAGTAGGGATTATAGACCACTGCACTCATACTCACAAAATTTTATTTGCTTAGTGTAGTAATTGATAGATTAAGGGTTATTCACTTTATATAAAATGTATATACAACATATATATACAATGTAATTATAATATTTACAAAAATCCCCTTGGATGACTACTATGTTACGATAATATGTCTCGTTAAAACCTTGTTAGGAACAATCTATTAGAAAAGACCTAGCAAAGGAAAAAGAGTCCAAATATATCATAAGCTTTTTTCTACTTTGGTGAATTATTTATACATTAACATTTATCTATTATGAATAGTTTAATGTTTAGTAGCTACTACAACAGAAAAGACATCATTGAAGCCCATTTTTATGTGATCCCACATCTCTCTTACATAAGCATCATTGATAAAAACGTTTTTTATATGCAGATATTTACCTCTTTCAAGAGATATGTCTATTCATGGACTTTTATTTTTCAGACGATATTATTTGAAATGATGTGAGACATTTTTTTCCACTTTAATAACTTCTTCGTGAGTTGTATGTAGCTTCCTTTTTAATCTTTTCTTCCACAAGTTAAATTTTTTGAATTTATTAGTCAACCACACTTCAGGTTGCAAGTAAATTCACGCCATTTTTTAGGGGCATATTTCCTCCCCTAACGGCGGGAAAAGTGATTCATTTTTTTTTGTACGTACATAACTTGCTGGGATCTTAGTATTTTTAGATACCTTTATCTCTACAGGAGATTTCTTCTCTAGAGACTCCTCTCTTAGCTAGTGCCAACTTTTTTGTGCATTATCTCTGTGTTGTTCTCTTATAGAGAATATTATTTATGACTACGACAAGTATTTCACGCTTCAAGCGTACCTTAGATAATTTGTTTTTGAATTTATGTAATATGAGAGAGAAATCTTTATTTATATATTCATGTACTAGAATAAATATAATAATATTGACCTTTGAATCTAGTCCAATTTATTACAAATAAGGTTATTAAGAATTTCAGGCTAAAATCTTCACATTATAAGTACACATGAAAAAATAATTCTAGCATAGTTTACATAATTTAAACACGGACTATTCATTCAATTGAAGTCTCAAAAACCTTAACTCACTAATATTATAAATAATGTTCAACTAATCTCAAATTAATGTGATTATAAAATATACTCATTGAATCTTTAAAATGGTTTAAAAACCAATAATTTTTATGTTCATATAATAGATAATAGGCTAACATGGTTTTAGAGTTTACAAATATTAATTGAAATAGCACATAATAATAAATGAGGTAATAGACTTGATTTATTTCAATAAAATCACTCATATATTTGACACATCTCGGTGATTTATGCATAATAAGACTCATGGTTAATACATATATACAAGAAAATATGTATATTAACAATAATAATAGACAAATATTAACCTTGAACATGTTGATAATTTCACCATATATAAAAGGAATGGTTTGATAGCTAATTTATTTTGTAAGTAGACAATAATTAATAATCATTTGCCAAAAGGATATTTCAATTTTCACAATGATTTAAAGTTGATCTTGGATGTCCAAGATGAGCATGTTAAAACTTAAAATTTTTTGGATAATAGCACTTCACACTACACAAAAAAGTGCTTTTGTTTCGATTTTTAGCCGAAACAAAAAGGTCTTGGTGTCGAAGCAAAAAGTTTTTGCTTCGGCAAAAGGGGCGTAATAAAAGGTACCTTATGCAAAAAGTTAGTTTCGACTAATTGTAGAAGCAACAAGCTTTTGTTTTGGCATTTTGTGTCGAAGCAAAAAATTACTATTTGATTTGGCAAATAATCATTTTTTGCTTTGGCAAAATGCTAAAGCAAATAATCACTTTTTGCTGATGTAAATAGTCATTTTCTGCTTCGGCATCTGCCGAAGCAAATACTCTTTGAAGATGGAAAAAAAAAAACTATTTGCCTCGACAAAACACTTTTTTTATTAAAAAAAATAAATTTTATTTACAATAATATTTTCTCTAGACAAACATATATATCTAAAATAAAAATATATTAATATTCATCAAAAAGAAAAAAATCCTTACAAGTACATGATAGCCGAGGTTTTTCATAAGTACAAAAAATTGCAATTGAAATTATCAATACATCCTAACCCCAAAAAAAAAAATTTATCAATACATTGTTGAACAAAAGAAATACACTCCCAATGCACAAAAAAAAAAAAAAATTCTATCCCAATGCACCAACCACTTTCTATCAATAACCTGCAAAAAATATGATTTTTGTTATTATATTGTCAATTTTAAGATGAATAGCTAAATACATGAAATAACAAATTAAATTGAATTGAAATGCAAACCAACAAAAACCAAGTGTACATCGATAAGGACCATATCTCCATCCCTTTTTATACAAATGTATTGGCTCCAAGTCCAGGCCGACACTATAAACAATTTACTTCTCATTTCTTTCACCTCTAAAATACAAAAGTTAAGACAAAGATTTGTTCATGGGGATACAAAAAAAAAAAAAAACAGATTAATTTATGGTTCAAAAATTCATTTAAGGCTACTCACATAGATAGAAAAGAATTCCAGTATTAAAAATTTTGAAAAAAAAAATTACACTATGCTAAAGAAAAATAAAACGCAGAGAAAAATCAATATGAGAACACAAAAAAAACTAATAGAAATTAGAGGGGGGGGGGTGTATAAAAAAAGTAGCAAAGAAATCACAAACTTATTCACCATGTAGAATTAAAATCTCTGAACCACACCATGTTTCCAATGAAAATAAATACCTCAGATTGCGCCAGCACTTGAACCTCAAGATTTAGAAGCCCTAAATCTATTCGAAGAAAGCAAATCATTTTTAGAAATTTCCACAAACATCTTGCGAGTAAGCATAAACTTGCTCATTTAAAAAATTGTAGAAAATTATGTATAGAATTAAGTGGAGAATGAATGAAGGCAACAAGAAAATTGAAAAAACAAAGATATCATGAGCACCCACCGAACAAGCCTAGCTAAGGATTTAAGTGGCTGCAAAACTGAAGTTGTCGATTGTTTTGGGGCTGCTACATAGCTGCCAAAGTAGGAGTTCTTTAATGGTTTGGAACTGATAAAGTGAACCTATATAAAACAAAGAAAAATGCTAGCTTAAGAAAGTCTCAAAGTGTGTAGAAGTTGATAGAAGTCCACCAAAAATAACCCCATATATAAACCAAGAAGTTTTTCTAACACAAGTTTTTGACTTGAAATAATAAAAAGGATAGTGTGATATTTATTAAGATACATGTCTTCAAAATTTGGTAGATTTCTTCTGTATCTACAAAACATCATCAAAATAGAGTTCTTTCTTAGCAATATAATATTGGTTCCTATAGAACTTTCATCCTAGTGCCACTATTTTAAGTATCATGACCACCAGCTTTTAGGTAGCTATTTCTACCAAGCCACCAAAGTTATGTGCATAATCATGGAAATACATAAAATACAAGACATTGAATTGTAAGAAAATATAAATTCAAGGAAATATAGCTAGTACAAGATACAATGTCGCATAGAATAATTAGTTCTTCAAGAACTATATAGAGTTGATCTTCAAGATCAATTTTTTTTTCTTCATTACCATTTTAAACACATTTTTTCAGGGAATGATGTACGTCCGGTCAAATGAGATTTGTCAATTTTCCTAAAAAGCACAAAATTATTCTTTTGTTTACAGCCACATGATATCAATTTGTTGTGGATCTACCCTCTTGAGGTGCTACTATAAGAGCACATTCAATCATGAAATATGATCCATTATTTTTTGAACATATATTCTTTGAGAATTTTTTTCACATTATTTTAAGTGTGTTCAAATTTTGCAGCCTTAGGTGCATCGAGCGCTTGAGAGGATTATGATCTTCAGGAACTGATATTTCTTCAATTAATATGTGAGTATTTTACCATAAAATAATTAAATTTATTCTTCAAGAATATGGTGGTGAAAGATAATGATTGTATTTGTGCGATCTTTCAAGGATACTTAATTTCCTTCCTTAATTGTATATCAGTGATCAACCATCAAAATTACTATTTTATTATATTTAATGATTATTTAATTGCATATTATTTGTGATTAAATGTGTTAAATTTCTTGATTTTCTAGTTTGATACTTTTTTTAGTTGTTTGATTTATTTTGCATGTAATTTAGTTGATTTAAAGTAATAATGGATAATGCAAATGAATCAATCACTAGAGGAAAAATCACAATTAATAAGAATTGCAGAGTCAAGATTAAAATAGTAAGACTTGAAGATATGACAACAATTTAATCCTTATAAGAGTCCAAGTTGGAAGAAAACCCATTTAAAGTTGGATTAGGAAAATATCCTAGAAGATAAGGATTTGACACGTCTTCAGTTTTTTAGCCATAACTTTTGACTCTGATATCTGATTTACTTGATTTTTGGGGGTTGAAAATAAGATTTCAAGGCCTACAAAAGTGTATTTCACGAAATTTCCATGAATCAACCTCTAAATATGCGAAATACAAGATCAAAGTATAGACATATTTTGTACCTGCGCCCTAAAGATTTTATGCACGGGATTTAACCTTACAAGACTTTTTTTTGGAAAGGAATTCATTCCAAACCAATCTTATATCTTCTATCTATGCTTAGGATTTATTTTGAGTATAAATAGGAGTTCTCATTTAGAGATTACAATGATTCTTCTTCCCATCTTTTTGTTTTGATTTTAGTTCGTCATATCCGGCTAGAAGACTAAGCTAGGGCTAGGAGAGAACCTCTCAATGAAGTATGATACTGTTATTGATTTTGTGCTTAATGATTTATGATATTTTGTTAGTTGAATTTATGATTTTTTAGTAAAATTTTTACTTTGTACAAATCTTTGAGTCGTTGTGTCATGTACATCGATTGCTTGAATTTTTCTGCGAGTAAATAACTGATTATGTCACACTTGAAGTAATTATCATTATTTCATAAAATAATATAATTGGTTGATTATTCAGGTTCCTGAATAATCTTTTGATTATAACTTTTGATTTTCTTACTTGATTTGTTACTCGAATTAACCGACATCTGATTTTTATCTCAGGTTAAAAATTAAGTCTTTAATCATTATTGCATGAAATTGAGATGGAGTACCTAATGCTCTAGTATTTTCAATTATTATTTTAAAAACTAAATTTATTGTTTTCTAAATTTCAAAATATCTACAACTATATTTTTTTTAAAATAATTTTCTTTTATTTTTCTTTGTGTTCTAAGCTTTTCTCAATTCCCTATGGTTCGACCTCGAACTTCCAAAAAATTTATTACTTCGCACAACCTGCACTTGGGTGATCAATTATAAAGTTGTAGCATTCAACATCTATAGTATAAAACTATCACTAATTCATTTTTCAATATATGATTTCTTTTGCTTTTGATAGTGAATTCATCATTACATATGGTAGACTTTTTTTTTTTCAATTGGACAGAGACTCATGCTGATAACTATTTTAAAATTAAGAGAACATAAAACATAGAATTGTAAAGAGATAAGATAATATAGAAATGTTAGAGAAAGAACTTTTTAACTTGTATATTTTTTAATATAGTCAAGACATCTTTTTATAGGCCCTTAGACACAATGACCATCAAATACATACCAATGGGTAGGGATTATAGACCAATGCCTATAAAGTCAAAGAATTTCTTACTTTGAAGTTTTGGACATATGGTCAAAGGATTCTTATAATCCAATTGAGAACCTATTTTTGAAAATGAAATTTCTTAAATTTCATTTGAGAAAGTGGAATAAAGAGGTTTTTGATAACATTTTTGATAAAATAAAGACTCAGGAGTTGGCTTTGAGAGATGCTGAGTTGAGTTTGGAGGTTGAATTTTCTTCTGCTAATGTGTTGGCTCTGGAGAATGCAAAGAAGGAGTTGGATTATACTTTCAGATTGGAGGAGTTATTTTGGAGGCAAAAGGCAAATGTGAGAAAATTGCTTATGGATGCGACTTATGTGGCTATGAAGACTATGTGAAGACGTGGCTTAAGGATACGACTTACATAGAGGGCTTCTTATTTTGCTTCTTCAAATGGTTCCCAGAATTTCAACCTAGGATTGAACCACCAGTTGTACCAATTTGGGTGTCATTGCTAGGTTTGGCCATCCACTTGTTTAACAGAGACAGTATGGGAGACATGGCCTAATAACGCATTGCTTTAAGAGGATCATTAACTCTATGTATAGTACGAATATATTTCTTAGACTTTAGGGTTTAGGGTTTAGGATTTGTTCAAATAGTATAATTTTTTTTGTTACAAGATGACAAATTAGAAGTTTAAGATGCAAACAAAGGCCATTTAAATGATCAAGCCTTGGATTCATTATGGTGTTTCAAGTGCATGTGTTCATAAGCAAATGCAAAAAGATCTAAATGCTCAATTTACATTTTTTCGTACAGATTCAATGACTGATTTATTTGTAAATACATATACTCACCAAATTAGGGGAGGGCTATGCAGATACCTTCATCTTCTAGTCCCTTTGGTTGGTTTATAACTTCTCCTCTCTCCAAGATTTGATCTTCAAGCAATCATTGCCTGTTGGTATTCTTCCTAGTTTCTAGCTTCTGCAGAATTCCTTTACTACAGGCTGCTATTCAATGGCAGACTTTTTCAGAAATCATCTCTATTCCAGGGCTAGATATTCATCTTCAAGGAAGAGGATTAACGCAACAATTAAGAATAACAGCCTCACTCTCCTTGGTTTCTCTATCTCTACATCATCAATTCCACTCATGCTTTAGGACAGAGGATCTCCAACATTCTGTGGTTCTCTCCCTTCTTAAAGATCTTCCCTCATTGATTCAGAGACCTTGGAAGCTCCAATTTCCTTGACTGTTCATAGTTCTCATGTGACCATTGGATTTTGGAGGCTAATCACTTGCCTTACAGTTGTCTAGCCTTTTCAGCTTCCTTATCAAATGCCTTATCAGACGCCATACCAATTGTCCAAAAGTTTATCAGCATAGAGGAGCCCATAGCTAAGGCTCTAGCTCTTCCAACTCATCAAGGCTGTTACTCTCTTGTAGCCATCTCCATTAATTATAAAGGCAACATGCTTCACATTTATTTTATTTCTTTATTCTTTTGTACTTAGTATGCATTTTGACTTTTTCATTTTTCTTTTATTATAATTTTCCTGTAATTAGATTGCTTTGAGGGATACGTGCCCCATAACTAGGTGTAATTTAACTTTTAATCAATAAAATTTCCTCGCACCATCGAGTTTCATCAAAAAAAAAAAGTTTAGGGTTTAGGCAGGAGTCAATTATTCTATTTTAGAGGGAGAACCTCTAACTTCTCTCTAAAATTTTTCCTTTGTCTTTCTTCGTGTTTCTTTCAATTTTCTGGGTCTTTTCTTGGAAATTCATTGATTTCTTGCTTATTATTGTGGATTTGTTTGTTTCTTTGGGATCATTCTTGAATTTTGAATAAACACATCATCAAATTCCTCCTAAGCCACCAAATATTAAGCAAAATTTTGCATCGCATTTCAAGAACTCTTCGAGTTTTGAGAAAACATCTATGATGGGCTCTGGTATTGAGAATGCTGATTTGACTTTTATGAGTCAAAATTGTCTTGGAAAATTCCTTAATATGCCTCCTAATCCTTCTTTGGTGAATCGCGTTCCTTCGTTTGTCCCAATCTCTTTAATCTCCCAAAATTCATTGATCTCTCAGATTCCATTAGGCACAATCTCTTCGATCACCCAAAATTCATCTATCTCTCAGATTCCCTCAATCACCCAAATTTCTTTGAATTCAGTGCATGTTGATCAAGATGTGAAGTCTTTGATGGCAAACTCAAATCCTGTATCTGTGAATTTGATGCAAACTGATCTGGATTCTTCTCCTGTTCCTTTTGCTACCGTGATTCATCTTGCGAAGGGGGTGGTGTTTAATAATGGCCAACTAGGCATGTATTGGTCTGCTGCTGAGACTCAAGAACTTGCGAAGGGTTTTCAGCAAACCCTAATTGGGAAGTGTGCTTATGGTAAGCCATTGATTGAAGTTATTAGGGAATTCATTACTACGCGATGGCTTCGAAAAGGAAATTTCTCAGTGGGAATCTTGGATCCAAGGCATGTGATGATTCCGATTTGAGCTTTATGAGGATTACGTGAAGAGGTGATTGAAAGATGCCACATATATTGAATCTTTTTTTATTTAGGTTCTTCAAATGGTTCCTAGAGTTTTTACCTGGGATTGAGCCACCAGTGGTGCCTTTCTAGGTATCTCTTCCAGGTTTGCCTATTTATTGTTTAACACTCCTACTTTATAATTAACTTGTCCTAGGGTGGCAAGGGTTTGTGTGGAGATGAATTTATTGGCAGACAACCCATTGAGATTTTGGAGGGTTGAGTGGGAGATGACAGAAGATAATATATGAAAAGAATGTGAAATACTGTACTAACTATTTAAAGTAAGGGCATGAGATTATTGAATGCAGGAAGAGGAAGAAGGGGGAAGATAGAAATGACATTGATCGTGGTGCAAGTTCTGAGGAAGGTAGGAGGAAAGAGTTGGTGGAAAATGAGAAAAATCATAAGGAAAATAAGAAGAAGAATTTTGAGTGGAAGGAAGTAAAAGGGAGTGTTTCTCAGAGGGCAGTACAGGTTAAGATTAAGCAAAAAACTAATACTCTTAATGTCAATAAGGAGATAGAGATGAGTGGAAATAGGTTGGGGAATACTTTTCAGTTGTTGAGTGGGGAGCACTCTAGAAAAGATGATTTGGTTCTTGTAAACTCTAATTCAATAAAAGAATTGGATAAGGAAGTGGTTGTAAGGAAACGAAGTAAAAGAGTGTCATTTCCATATTTGGGTGAGATCCTTAAGGATCCAGTCGGGGAGTTGAATATAGGATTGAAAGGGAATCAGAATGAGGAGGGTAAGAGATTGTTGGTGGGGGTGTTTAATGTTGAAGGGGTGAGTCTAGCCAATTTGGGGATGTGGTTGAGGAAATAGTTGGGGAGAAGATAGAGCTGAATTTTGTTATGAATGGACATAAGGAAGTGGAGGTGTTTCCTAGTTGTACTCTTAACATGAAATTTTCTCCAGAATTAGGCTCTTCCTTTTATGTGGATCATCAATTTGATGTTTGTAGCACTGGTGGCATATCTCTGGATGATGAATGTGGCTTAGTAAGGAATAAGGAGCCTCTAGATAAAGGGTTTTCTTTTGATCAAGAGAGCTCTAAGTCTTGGGCAGAAGAGTCAGAAGAATTGGAGGATAATAAGGCTTCTCTACGTGCTCAGGTGGTGGCAAATTCTATAGATTCTAGTTCTACGTTGGAATTTGGAGGTAATTCTCACTTTCTCCCTCTATAATGAATTTTATTTTTTGGAATGTAAGAGGGGCTGGGAAAGATGCTTTGCGATGTAGGCTAAAAAAACTAATTTCTATGAATAGAGTATGTTTGGTGGCTGTTTTGCAGCCAAAAATGCTTTCTGTAAAGCTAGGGTCTTTTGCTACTACTATTGGGATGAGTTCTTTTGTGACTAACTCTTTAGCTGAGAATAATATTTGGGTATTGTGGAATCATTATGTGGAGGTTAGTGTGATCAAGGAGCATGAATAGACAAATACTGTGTCTGTGTCATATTTGGGCTCTGAAGCTTGTCTGGTTACTATTGTTTATGCATGTTATGATCATGTGTTGAGGAGACCTCTGTGGCAGCATATACATGAGATTGCTAAGAATTTTTCTATGTCTTGGTTATTAATGGGTGATTTTAATGCTATAGTGAATTCAAAAGAGAGATTGGGGGGCTTTTCCCTCTTTTGTTTCTATGGAGGAGTTTGGTAGTACGATTCATTCTGAGGGTTTGAGGGAAGTTCTTTTGCATGGTGTAATAATCGCCACGGTAGTGCTAGAATGTGGCAGAGGTTGGATAGGGTGTTGGTGAATATAGGGTGGAGTGCTGGTGTTTAGAGAATTGAAGTGGTGCATCTGGCTAGGGGGGATTCAGATTATTGTCCTCTTTTGGTCAGAGTTGTGGAGTCAGGTAATGTTTCTAAAGTGCCATATTTTAAGTTCTTGGATATGTGGACTGAGGATAACTCTTTTTTGGGCTGGAGTGCTGGTGTTGAGAGAACTGAAGTAGTGCATCTGGCTTAGGGTGATTCAAATCATTGTCCTCCTCTGGTCAGAGTTTTGGAGTCAGGTAACGTTTCTAGAGTGTCATATTTTAAATTCTTGGATTGAGAATTTTTTTTTTGAAAATGAAGTTTTTGAAGTTTCATTTGAGCAAGTGGGATAAAGATGTTTTTGGGAATATTTTTGATAAAATCAAAGTTCAAGAATTGGCTTTGAAGGCTACTGAAGTGCTTCTGGAATCAAAGTTTTCAAAGGTTAATTTGAGGAGTTTGGAGCAGGCTAGAAGGGATCTGGATAGTACTCTTAGGTTAGAGGAGAGTTTCTAGAAGCAAAAGGCTAATGTAAAATGGGCATTGGATGGGGAGAATAACACTAAATTCTACCATGCTATAGCTAAAGGTAAGGCTATAAGAAATGGAGTAAAGAGAATTAGAAATGATGAGGGTGTTTGGCTCCATTCTAAGAGTGAGATTGCAGAGCAATTTTTTGGTGCTTTGTATAGGTCTGAAGTTCATGAGTTGAGGGGAGATTTGTTTGGGGTCATTCCAAAACTGATGAGTGTTGATGATAACACATCTTTAACTGGTATAACATCTATGGATGAACTCAGGCATGTTTTGTTCTCCATGTCTATGGAGAGTGCACCTGGTCCTGATGGTTTTTCTGGGAAATTTTTCCATTTTGCTTGGGAGATTATAAAGGATGATTTGTTGAACGCTATGAATTTTTTTCTGGGAGGAAGAGTTGTTCCCAGATCAGTGAATGCTACTCTCTTGACTTTGATTCCTAAGAAGGTAAATCCTTCTTCCTTTATAGAGTTAAGGCCAATAAGTCTTTGTAATTTTTTATACAAGATGTTCACTAAGTTGCTTTCTAAGAGACTTGCTGTGTTACTTCCCATATTGATATCTAGTGAGCAACATGGATTTGTAAGGTGAATAAGCATTGGTGAATGCATTTCTTTAACACAATTTATGGTAGGAGAGTTGGATATAAAAGTTGAAGCGGGAAATATTATTCTGAAATTAGATATGATGAAGGCTTATGATAGGTTATAATGAGATTTCTTGAAGAAGACATTGGAATGTTTTGGTTTCTCTGATTTGTTTATTTCAATTGTGGAGAACTGTTTGGATAATCAATCTATGTTTGTATGTTTTAGGGTTTAGGGTTTAGGGTTTAGGGTTTTAGGGTTTAGGGTTTTAGGGTTTAGGGTTTAGGGTTTAGGGTTTTAGGGTTTAGGGTTTAGGGTTTAGGGTTTTAGGGTTTTAGGGTTTAGGGTTTAGGGTTTAGGGTTTAGGGTTTAGGGTTTAGGGTTTAGGGTTTTTTAGGGTTTTTTAGGGTTTAGGGTTTAGGGTTTTTTAGGGTTTTTTAGGGTTTTTTAGGGTTTAGGGTTTAGGGTTTAGATTTCTTTTTAGAGAGAGAAGGTCTGACTTCTCTCTAGAATTGTCTCTTTCTTTTTCAGATCTTCTCCATTTCTAGCTCATTTTTCATTATTGTTTGTGATTTTGTTGAAATTCCTACTGTTTTGATTGTCATAGCATGAAATCTGGCCATGAAATTCATCAGATTCCCCCAAAACCGCCTGACATTACCAAAAATTTTGCCTCCTTGTTCAAGAAAACTACATCTGTAGAAAACTTTCTAACAATTCCTGCTGTTTCAGAGATCAATTCCTTAACACTTGTTGATCCTTTGGGATGTAATAACACCGTAACTATGCCTCTCGTAACTCAGCTGGATCGAAATTCACCGACTGTTCAAATTGCCTCTGTTCTTCCTTCGGCTGTGTTATCTTCAACAAATAATCAATGCTCGTCATCTGGATTAGGAATGCACATTCCTGCTGATTCTTCGAATGTTCGAAATGCTCAAGGAGTTAATCTGCATTCCCATTCTGTTTTGATTCCTCCATCTAATTCATCTCCTCAAGATCCTTCGACTGACCGACTTCTGCCAAAAACTCAGATCCCGATTCCTGGAAGAGATTCTCAAGTTCCTCTTGTTATAACGAATGATCAGAATCCTTCTACTATTCAAATTCCTTCATCTCCAATTCTATTTGGTTCCTTGAATGCTGTAAATCCTCTGAAGCCTACGAAGAGAGTTGTGTTTAATAAAGGGGAACCTGGTATGTATTGGTCCCCTGTTGAAACTATGGAGCTTTCCAAAGGTTTTAATCAAACTCTTATTGGCAAATGTGCCTATGGTAGACCCTCACTGGGTGTGGTAAAAGAGTTTATTAATTCTAGATGGTTATTGAAGGGGGAATTTTCTGTAGGAGTGCTTGATCCGAGGCATGTACTGATTAGATTTTCTTTGTATGAGGATTATGTGAAACTATGGCTAAAGGATAATACGTACATTGAGGGTTACCTCTTTCGTTTCTTCAAATGGTTTCCAGAATTCTATCCTGGGATTGAGCCTCCTGTTGTACCAGTATGGATATCTTTGCCAGGTCTTCCAATCCATTTGTTTAATAGAGAGAGTCTGAGGGACATATTGAGTCCAGTTGGTAGAATTTTGGTGATAGACAATGCTACTCTAAATCTCTCTAGGCCTGGTGTAGCCAGGGCTTGTGTGGAAATGAATCTTCTGGCCAGTAATCCTAGGAGATTCTGGTTAGACATGGGGGGAGTGAGTGGTCGCTGGCAGAGGATAGTATATGAAAAGGAGTATAAATATTGTCCTGCTTGTCTTAAGCAAGGGCATGATGAAATATTGTGCAGAAGAAAGAAGAAAGTGGAAGGTGATGCCTCTGAGAATAAGCAAACAACTGAACATGTTTTTAACAAGGATGAGGAATGGAGGAAAAAGAAAGGAAAAGCTATTGTTATAGATGGGCTGAGTGTGCATCCCAGAAAGGAATATAGACAGAAATCCATGAATCAAACTACTGCTGTGGAGAATAACTTTGTTGTACTGAATGAGGAGGTTGGAATGGAGGAAATGGATAATGGCAGGAATTTACCTGAAAGCTTACCTGAAAAGGTTATTGAAAATGGATTATCTTCTGTTATTATGGTGAATATTGATAATGCTGCAAATCCAAATATTACAACTGTTGATGCTGAGGTGGGAAATGCAAGGGTGATTGGAATGGAGGATATGGAAAATGGTAGGAATATGGCTGTATTGGGGCAGACATTCAGTGCTGATAAGAGTCCTGATATTGGAGCATCTGTTGCTGATAAACTGATTACTGATCCAGTTCCACAGGAGATGATCAATGTGTGTAATATTGCAAATGCTGCTTTGATTAATGATGTTGTGGGAGTTGAGGTTGGGTCTCTTGATATTTCCCCAATGGTTGTGGATTGTGGAAATCAAGAGGGTGATGGCACTGATAATGTTGGCATCAGTTTGGAATCTCCTATTCTGCCAGATCATGAAAGTACTAACTTGGAGATTTCTTACTCTTCATCTCCTATCTTTTTGCCTGTTGCTAATGAGGTGGTTAATGTGGGAGATATTGATGGAAACAATGTTAATATAGGGGAAAAACTAGTTCCTCTTAATTAGAGTTTGAATGATGTCAACCTAATGGAAGTTCTTGGAGAGTGTAAAACTCTTTATGCTCAATCCTTGGGTTCTTCCTTTTTAGTTGAAAATGGAATGACTGTTATAAGAGGGAGTCAGAAGTCTTTAGATGATCAGAATGGTTTGGTTAGAGTAAGAGAACCTCCAGATAAAGGTTACTACTCTGATCAGGCTAGTTCTAGGACTCAGAAGGTTGTAAATGTTGATTCTGATAATTCTGGTAGCTCTTTGGATGGAAATGAGGATGATAATGGATTTAGTTCCAGTGGTGTCCACTCTTCTATGAATTTATGATTAATTTTCTATCATGGAATATGAGAGGGGCAGGTAAAGATGCTAAGAGGAGGAGATTAAAGAAACTCATTAAATTGCATGATGTTTGTCTTGTTGCAATTCAAGAGCCCAAACTGTTGGTGTCCAAACTGGTTCCTTTTGCTAGGAGCATTGGACTAGAGCATTTCTGTTCTAATACTTTAGCTGAAAGGAATATTTGGGTTTTATGGGATGAGAGAATCAAATTGAAGGTAATGTTTGAACATGTTCAAGTACTGACTGTGGAAATTACATTCATGAATTCACTTATTCTTTGGGTTTCTGTTGTATATGCTAGTTGTGATCTTTTTGAGAGAAGGTCCTTATGGTCACATTTGTTGAGTATAGATGTTCCTCCTAAGGTTCCTTGGATGGTAGTTGGTGATTTCAATACCATTTTATCTTCTGCTGAAAGATTGGGAGGAGCTTTTCCTTCTTTGCTATCTATGGAGGAGTTTGGTGACTTTTTGGATCACAGGGGTTTGTTGGATGCTGGTTTTGTTGGAAATAAATTTACTTGGTGTGATAATAGAACTGGGGTTACAAGAATGAAGCAGAGGCTGGATAGAGCTCTGATTAATGCTTATTGGAATCTGGAATTTGACAGCATGGAAGTGGTTCATCTGGCAAGAGGTTCCTCTGATCATAGTCCTTTATTATTGAAAATTATGGATAGTCCTATACAGAAAAGAATTTCCTACTTTAGATTTCAAGATATGTGGTGTGATCATGAAGATTTTCTGGCTCTAATTAAATCTAAGTGGACTGGACAGTATTCAAATAACCCAGTGTCAAATGTGTTCATCAAAATGAAATATTTGAAGACTCACATGAAGTTGTGGAATAAAGAGGTTTTTGGTAATCTTTTTGAAAAGTTGAAAGAGCTTGAACAAAAAACTAGTGAAATTGAACTGGAATTAGATCATAACTTTTCTGATTCCAAAGCTTTGGAGTTAGAAATGGTTAAAGGTGAGATGGATGATTGGTTGAGAAGAGAGGAAGCCTACTGGAAGCAAAAGTCAAATGTGAAATGGGCTATTCAAGGGGAGAGGAATACCAGATTTTATCATTCTATTGCTAAAAGTAAAGTTAGCAGGAATAAAGTTTCAAGAATCAAGAATAAAGAAGGAGTATGGGTATATGGTGATAAGCAGGTGGCTGATGTTGCTGAGGAATTCTATGCTGATCTTTATAAGTCTGAGGAACATATCATCAAAGATCATATTTTTGATGTCATTCCAAAGCTTATCAGTAAAGAGGATAATGAGAGGCTTACTGCTGAAGCTACTTTGGAGGAAGTGAAAGATGTTGTTTTTTCTATGGCTATAGAGAGTGCTCCTGGACCGGATGGTATGTCTGGTAAATTCTTCCAATTTGCCTGGGATATTATTAAAGTTGATGTGGTTATAGCTATTAACTTTTTGCTTAAAGGAGGTTTTATGCCCAAATCTGTGAATTCCACTTTATTAGTCTTGATTCCTAAGAAGGAGGGGCCTAGTTCTTTTTCAGATTTCAGACCTATAAGCCTATGTAATTTCTTGTATAAGATTTTTACAAAGCTTCTCAACAATAGATTGTCTCTTTTGCTTCCTGATTTAATATCTGAGGAACAACATGGTTTTGTTAAAGGAAGAGGAATTAGTGACTGTGTGGCTTTGGGACAATTGCTTGTTGGAGAATTGAACAGGAAGGTTGAAGGTGGAAATATGGTTATGAAATTGGATATGATGAAAGCATATGACAGGATGGAATGGGATTTCTTGCTGAAGGCTCTGGTTAGTTTTGGCTTTTCTGATTTGTTCAACCAAATTATTTTGAACTGTCTGAAAAGCCAATTCTTTACTATATGTTTAAATGGACAAAGATATGGCTATTTTGCTAATTCAAGAGGGCTAAGGCAGGGAGATCCTATCTCTCCCACTTTATTCATCTTGGCTGAGGAAGTATTAAGTAGAGGGCTGAGGAACATTTATCATCAGAATTTGGTAAAACATTTTCATATTGGGAGAGGAACAATTATTGTGAGTCACCTATTGTTTGCTGATGATACTCTGATTTTTCTAAGGGGTAACAAAAAGTCTGTATTGAATGTCCTGCAGTTTATTGATCTGTATGAATCAAGCTCTGGCCAAAAGGTTAACAAATTGAAAAGTGCAATATTTTGTTCTAAGCTAATTCCCTTGTCTAGAAGGAATAGACTGGCTGCTCAGGTGGGAATTCCTTTTAAAGATTGTCCTTTTACTTATCTGGGCTGTCCTATTATAAGAGGAAGGATTAAGAAATGCTATTTTGAAGATGTGGTGAACAACTTCAGGAAAAGAATTGAGGGTTGGTATGCCAAACTGTTATCTGGTATGGGAAGAATTGTGCTGATACAATCAGTACTTAGTTCAATCCCTATTCATATATTGGCTTGTCTGAATATTCCAAAAGGTGTTTTGAGTAAGCTGAACTCTCTGATTGCTGATTTCATTTGGTCAAATCAGATTGGTTTTAAAAGAAGACATTGGGTTTCATTGAATGATGTTTCTAAACCCAATATAGAAGGTGGTTTGGGGATTAGAAGTTTTGAGGACATTCAAACATCATTTAGAATCAAGCAGGTATGGGGAATTTTGAATGGCTCTTCTTTGTGGGCCAAAGTTTTTAAAGAAAAGTTTTTTCAGGGGAAACATATGATTAGATGTGAATACACTGCTGCTGGTCATTCTTTTAGAATTCTAAAACCTTGGTTCAATTTCACAGTACAGAATTCCTTGAAAATTGTTGGAAATGGACAGCATACTGATTTTTGGTGTGATTCATGGTTGGAGTCTGGACCCTTAATTTTTAGAGTGGAAAATCAACCATTGTTTTTCCCCAAGATTAATGAATTATGGAATGGTGTGGAATGGCAGCTGGATAAGGTAGCTGAATGGCTTAATCCTCAGCTTTGTTTTGAGATTGAAAGTGTGGTTCTGGTGAAGTCTGATACAGATGATAGACTTATATGGAGGCATACCAACTCAGGTTGCTTTACTGTTAAGTCTGCTTGGAATCAAACTAGGAAGAAGGGGATTCAAAATGATATAGTTAAAGGTATTTGGCAGCAGAAAATTTTTCCTAGTGCTCAATTGTGCACTTGGAAAATTTTTAAAAAAGCCTTGACTACTGATGATAGAATTCAGAAAGTGGGAGTAGCTTTGGCTAGTAAATGTGTAATGTGTGGTAAAGCTGGGGAAACTACAGATCATCTGTTTATTGATTGTTCTTTAGCTACATCTGTCTGGAGGAAAATTGCTGCAATTATGGGATTTGATAGTTTATCAGGTGATTCTCCTTTATGCAGATTTATGAGATTGCTCAGAAGTTTTAAAAACCCTTCTCTCAGTCACAGTTTAATTAGGGGGGTATCTATGTTAATTTTTTGGTCTCTGTGGAAGGAAAGATGCAGAAGAAAGTATGAGGGAGTTTTTTTTAATGCACATGCAATATTCCTACAAGTTATTAATACTTTGAAATGGCAGGCTTTCATTATTAAGCCTGGAGTAAATGATGATTGTAAGGGTCAAGATCTTCTGGCAGAGTTGAAAATTAGAAATCCTTATTCATTAATTACTAAGGTCAAATGGATTAGTTGGGTATTTCCTCCTACAAATGTTTTAAAACTTAATGTTGATGGTGCCTCTAAAGGAAAGACTGGATTATCAGGAGGAGGAGTAGTGGTAAGGAACCATGCAGGGAGAGTTATTACAGCTGCTGCTTGTTTTTATGGGTTTGGTTCAAACATGTTAGCTGAATGTATGGCATTGTTTGATGGTTTACTGTTGATCCTGCAGCATGGTTTATCAGATTCTCTGATTTTGGTGGAGTCTGATTCTCAAATTCTAGTTCAAATGGTGAAAGGTCTGGCTGCTATTCCATGGAAGTTGCAAGATCTGTTAAAGAGGATTAAACTGTTATTTGGAATGATGAATTTGCAGATTTCACACATTTACAGAGAAGCTAATGGATTGGCTGATTTTTTAGCTTCTTTTGCTGTTCATTCAAAAACATATACTGAATTCTCTGGCAGTAATGTATTGCCAGTGGCTGGAAGGTTAATTCTGCAACAAGACCAGACTGGTTTACCTAATGTCAGATTGAAAAGAATACTTTGTAAGCAAAGGAAGGGAATTGGTTGATTAAAATGATTGTCTGAGTTTGAGTAGGGCTGTAGAAGAAAGTTGCCAAACAGATTATCCATCAGATATTTGCAAATCCCAATATCAGTTGGGGTCCTCTTTCACTCTGCTTCTTCTGTGCATGTATCTGGACTGACCTAGGCAGATTGGTTGACCTCAGTTGGAATTTGTGAGGAGTTTCAGCTGCTGGAGGATGAATGAAGGTTGGCAGACTGTTGGAGTTCTGGATGGGAATTCTAAACCTGCATTTCTTCCTGTTCAAAAACTTGGAATTTTTGCAGTTCCTAATGCTGGTCTGGAAGAGGATGTTTACCAGAAAAAGAAGACTGTATATAGGGACCATGTTGCAAAAATTACTTTTTTGTCCTTATATAGTTTTCCTTTGTAATTTGGTTTACAGTTACTGTTTTTTCTTTAAACAGTACTGCTTTGCTTCTTGTAATTTCTGCATTTTTCTGGAATAAAATTTCTCCTTTTATCAAAAAAAAAAAAAAAAAAAAAGGGTTTAGGGTTTAGGGTTTAGGGTTTAGGGTTTTAGGGTTTTAGGGTTTAGGGTTTTAGGGTTTAGGGTTTAGGGTTTAGGGTTTAGGGTTTAGGGTTTAGGGTTTTAGGGTTTTAGGGTTTTAGGGTTTAGGGTTTAGGGTTTAGGGTTTAGGGTTTAGGGTTTAGGGTTTAGGGTTTTAGGGTTTAGGGTTTAGGGTTTAGGGTTTAAGGGTTTAGGGTTTAGGGTTTAGGGTTTAGGGTTTAGGATTTCGGAGGCAGTTATTTCATTCTAGAGACTTTATTTCTTTTTCCAGATCTTCTTGTTTTCCATCTGATTCTTCACTATATTGTTGTGAAATCTTTGATTCCTACTGTCGTATTGATTGATTTAGCATGGTTTTAGCCCAAGAACACAATCAAATTCCACCAAAACCTCCAGACATTACCAAAAACTTTGCCTCCTTGTTCAAGAAATCTGCTCCGATTGAAAATGCTCCAACAATCCCTATCACTTCAGAATTTAATTCCTTAACAATTGTAGATCCTTTGGGAGGGAATAACACCATCTCTATGCCTCTTATTTCTCAAGTGAATCAAACTAAGCCGACTGTTCGTCTGGCCTCTGTTCTTCCTGCGAATGTATCGACTGCTGTAAATGATCAGAGTTCTTCATCTGGGTTAGGATATCATGTTCCTATTGAATCTGTTATTGATCGAAACACACAGAGAGTGCTTATGAATCCTCCACCTTCTCTAATCCCCCAATCCATTCCTTTGGAAATTCTTGAATCCTCGATGGATCGAAATCTGAACAAATCTCAAATCCCTGCTTCTGATAAAGATACTCAGATTCCAATAGTCATTTCGAATTCTCAAATTCCTTCAGGTAGTCAAAATCCTGCGTCTAATATTGTTTTTGGTTCCTTAAATTTGGTGAATCCTCCTAAAACTGCAAAGAGGGTAGTCTTTAACAAAGGGGAGCCTGGGATGTATTGGTCCCCCAATGAAACCTTAGAACTTTCTAAAGGTTTTTGTCAAACTCTTATTGGCAAATGTGCCTATGGTAAACCTTCTCTGGGTGTGGTGAAAGAATTTATCAAGTCTCGATGGCTTCTGAAAGGGGATTTCTCTGTAGGTGTGTTAGATCAGAGGCATGTACTGATCAGATTTTCTCTCTATGAGGACTATGTTAAAGTGTGGCTGAAGGATACAACATACATTGAGGGTTATCTCTTCAGGTTTTTTAAATGGTTTCCAGAGTTTTATTCTGGGATTGAGCCACCTATTGTACCTGTATGGGTATCCTTACCTGGGCTTCCAATCCATTTATTCAACAGAGAAAGTCTGAGAGATATTTTAAGTCCAATAGGCAGGATTCTGGTGATAGATAATGCTACCCTTAGCCTTTCTAGACCTGGGGTAGCCAGGGCCTGTGTTGAGATGAATCTTCTAATCAACAATCCTAAGAGATTCTGGTTAGATATGGGAGGTGTTAGTGGCAGATGGCAAAAGATAGTGTATGAAAAAGAGTACAGGTATTGTCCTGCTTGTCTTAAGCAGGGGCATGATGAAGTGCAGTGTAGAAGGAAGAAGAAAGTGGAAGATGATATTTTTGATAAGAAGCAGGAGGCAGGGAATAATATTCCTCAGGATGAGGAGTGGAAGAAGAAAAAAGGTAAAGCTATGGCTACAGATGGTCTGAGAGGACAGTCTAGAAAGGAATACAGACAGAAATCTAACCCTCAAACTACTGCTGTGGGGAATAGTTTTTCTGTTTTAAATGAGAATACTGTTATAGAAGAGCAAGATATTGGGAAGGAAATGAATGTAAATGAACAGGAAATAATACCAGACAAGGTCACTAATAATGAAGGATCTCCTTCTATTCAGGAGATTGGTATTGGAGATGTTGAAATACAGGGGAAGGATGTTAGAAAGGATACTGTCATTCTGGAGAACCCTCAGGCAAGCTTTGAATGTGGTACTCAAGGAGTTGGCATTACTAATAATGCTGATATCAGATTGGAGGGAATACAACAAGAGAATAGTCCAGGAGTAACTATTGCTTCTGAATCTAGAAATCAAATTCCCATAAATACAGTCACTGTGGGGGCTACATTGGAGGTAAATTCTTTTTCCTCCCCTATTCCATTAACTCCTATTAATGAGGAGATCAATGTTGGAGTTCCTGTAATTGAGGTTGTTAATAATGACAATATGGTGGTTTATGAAAATATGGAGATTTTGGGAGAATGTAGGAATTTTTATGCTCCATCAATGGATTCATCTTTCCTTTTGGAACATGGATTTGTTGTTAGAAAAGGAAGCCAAAATTCTTTAGATGACCAGTCTGGTTTGGTTAGGATGAAAGAACCTCCAGATAAGGGTTATTTTTCAGATCAGGCTAGCTCTAGACCTCAGAGAATTGTAAATGTTGAATCTGATATTTCTGGGAGTTCTGTTGAAGAAGAGGATGAGGGTAATGGACTTAGTTCCAGTAAAGTTCCATATTCTATGAATTTATGATTAATCTCCTATCATGGAATATGAGAGGGGCAGGTAAGGATGCCAAGAGGAGGAGATTAAAGAAGCTTATTAAATTGCATGATGTTTGTTTGGTTGCAGTTCAAGAGCCTAAATTACTGATCTCTAAATTGGTTCCTTTTGCTAGGAGTATTGGTTTAGAGCACTTCTGTTCTAATGCCCTTGCAGAAAGGAAAATTTGGATTTTATGGGATGAGAGAATCAAGTTGAGAATCTTATTTGAACATGATCAAGTATTGACTGTGGAAATAACTTTTCTGAATTCAATTATTTTTTGGATCTCAATTGTATATGCTAGTTGTGATCCTTTTGTAAGAAGGTTATTATGGGATCATTTGTTGGGAATTGATGTTCCCTCTGATGTCCCTTGGATGGTGGTTGGTGATTTCAATTCAATCCTCTCTTCTGATGAAAGATTGGGGGGAGCCCCTCCTTCTCTGCTGTCTATAGAGGATTTTGGTGATTTTGTAAATCATAGGGGTTTGCTGGATGCTGGTTTTGTGGGCAATAAATTTACCTGGTGTGATAACAGGAATGGGGGCATCAGAATGAAGCAGAGGTTGGACACAGCTCTGATTAATGCTTGCTGGAATTTGAAATTTGATAGTATGGAAGTGGCTCATTTAGCAAGGGGCTCCTCTGATCATAGCCCTTTATTGATGAAAATCATGGATGCTCCTGTACAGAAAAGACTCTCTTATTTTAGATTTCAAGACATGTGGTGTGATCATGAGGGATTTTTTGATCTGATTAAAGCAAATTGGGGAGGGCACTATTCAGAGAATCCAATGTCAAATTTGTTCATCAAGATGAAATATTTGAAGGCTCATATGAAGATGTGGAATAAAAATGTGTTTGGAAATCTCTTTGACAAATTGAGAAATCTGGAGCAAAAAATAAGTTTGTTGGAACAGGAGGTAGATCAGAGTTTTTCTGATTCACAAGACATAGAGTTAAAAGCTGCTAAGAATGAGATGGATGATTGGCTAAGAAGAGAAGAAACTTATTGGAAGCAAAAGTCAAATATAAAATGGGCTGTACAGGGGGAAAGGAATACCAGATTTTACCATTCTATTGCTAAAAGTAGAATGGTTAGGAATAAAGTCTCAAGAATCAAGAATAAAGAAGGGGTATGGGTATGTGGGAATAAGCAAGTGGCTGAGGTAGCTGAGGAATTTTATGTTGATCTTTACAAGTCTGAAAGGCATATCATCAATGAACAAATTTTTGTTGATGTTATTCCTAAGCTCATCAGTCAAGAGGATAATGAGAGGCTCACAGCTGAAGCCACTTTGGAGGAATTGAAAGATGTGGTCTTCTCAATGGCAGTTGAAAGTGCCCCTGGGCCTGATGGTATGTCTGGTATGTTTTTTCGATTTGCCTGGGATATTATTAAAATAGATGTGGGCAGAGCTGTTAACTTTTTGCTAGCAGGAGGTGCAATGCCTAAATCTGTGAATTCCACTTTGTTAGTATTGATTCCTAAGAAGGAAAATCCATGTTCATTTGCTGATTTCAGACCTATAAGCTTATGTAATTTCTTATATAAGATCTTTACAAAGCTTCTGAATACTAGACTTTCTTCCCTTCTTCCTGCTTTAATTTCTGAAGAACAACATGGCTTTGTACAAGGCAGAGGTATTGGAGATTGTGTGGCCTTGGGACAGTTGCTTGTTGGAGAATTAGACAGAAAGGTGGATGGTGGGAATATGGTTATGAAATTGGATATGATGAAAGCATATGACAGGATGGAATGGGATTTTTTGTTGAGGGTACTGGCTGGCTTTGGCTTTTCTGATTTGTTTAATCAAATTATTTTGAATTGTTTGAGTAGCCAATTCTTTACCATTTGTTTAAATGGCCAAAGATATGGTTATTTTGCTAATTCAAGGGGGTTAAGACAGGGAGATCCTCTCTCCCCTTCCTTATTCATCCTGGCTGAGGAAGTGCTGAGTAGAGGGCTAAGAAGAATTTATCACCAGAATTTGGTGAAACATTTCCATATTGGGAGAGGAACAACAATTGTTAGCCATTTGCTATTTGCTGATGATACTCTGATTTTTCTAAGAGGTAATAAATCCTCTGTAGTGAATGTTTTGCAATTTATTGAGTTGTATGAATCATGCTCTGGACAGAAGGTTAACAAAATGAAAAGTGCTGTCTACTGCTCCAAGCTGATCTCTCTAGCTAGAAGAAATAGGCTGGCTGCTGTGATGGGGATTCCTTTGAAGAATTGTCCTTTTACCTATTTGGGATGTCCTCTTATCAGAGGTAGAGTTAAGAAATGTTACTTTGAAGAGGTGGTGAACAGCTTTAGAAGAAGACTTGAGGGTTGGTATGCCAGACTTCTCTCTGGAATGGGAAGAGTGGTATTGGTGCAGTCAGTACTTAGCTCAATTCCCATTCATATTTTGGCTTGTTTGAATATTCCAAAAGGTATTTTAAGTAAGCTGAACTCTCTTATTGCTGATTTTATTTGGTCTAATCAAATTGGATCCAGGAGGAGACATTGGGTGTCACTTAATGATATTTCTAAGCCCAGAATAGAAGGTGGCTTGGGAATTAGAAGTTTTGATGAAGTCCAGATGGCATTCAGAGTAAACAAGTATGGGGCATTCTAAAGGGTTCTTCTTTGTGGGCCAAAGTCTTTCAAGAGAAGTTTTTTCAAGGCAAGCATATGCTAAGATGTAGCAGCAGTGGTGCAGGTTTATCATTTAATGTCTTGAAGCCTTGGTTCAATTTACAGTACAGAATTCTTTCAAAATGTTAGAAATGGTCATAACACTGATTTTTGGTGTGATTCATGGTTGGAAACTGGCCCCTTGATTCTTAGAATGGAGAATCTTCCATTGATCTTTCCCAAGATAAAAGAATTATGGAATGGGGTAACATGGCAGCTAAATGAGGTTGCTGAATGGCTTAATCCTCAATTATGTTCTGAAATTGAAAAGGTGGTTTGTGAGATCTGAGGAATCTGATAAGCTTATTTGGAAGCATACTACTTCAGGTGAATTTACTGTAAAATCTGCATGGAATCAGCTCAGGAAAGTGGGGAACCAAATGCTATTGCTAAAGGCATATGGAAAAGAAAATTTTTCCTAGTGCTCAACTTTGCACTTGGAAAATTTTCAGAAAG